TAGAAGATAATTCACACCTTACCGATCATGAACGAGACATCGATAACATATAGCCAGATATGAAATCATTGCACAAACGTTTATTTCCAAGTTGGAGACTTGGAAGTGCACGGTTTCCTACTTTCAACCCAAATTTTTCTTCTGAAAGCTAGAATCTTCCACAGAAATGCCTTTAATTTGACCTAGCCTTCCCTTAAGTAACAATTGAATATCTCATTCTACGTTTTAGCTATGTCTAATCACTAAATAGGGATGGGGGTATTGTGTCAAAATTTGTTTTAAATACTGCCCTGGTGGTAGAGGTTTTAATGTTTGACCAACATTTTCTTTGGAAATTATCGCTAAAAGAATAATGCTTAGTTTGAAATGGAGAAAAATAAAAATCGGCCTCCATAGGTCTACAGTATTTTAAAATATTCGCTACAGCTGTCGTTACCAGTTTTGAAGACAGAGCGGAACCTCCTGAAGTATGAGGTAATTAAACCCCCGATGGGCAGTTTGACGGTTTTTGGCAACATTGCAGGTCCCGAAAGTGCGTTCGTGAAAAAGAATTCTGAACTCGCTTAGACATACCATTTTGGCCATCGTTCGGAATAGCGTTACACTTCTCTTTGGAAAAAGATATGTCATCAATGCCCAGGAATATAACTTCAGCAGACTCTAAGGTTCCTTTGAAGAGGATCTGTTGTTAAAACAAAGACAAAGAAAAACGATATTTTAAATGCTGGCTTTATTTGACCTCGAGTTGTTTTTGGAGAAGGAAAAACCTCCTCTAAACGAAATTCAAGAATAAAGTAGTTCTGTCAGTCCAACCTGTTGTATCTTTACCAAAACATTAGACTTCCGCTGAAGTAAGTAACTGCTAGCATGGCAACTCTAATTGCGTGGCCAGTTAACATAGATCTGAGTATCAGAATTTCGTGGTTATTATATAGAGAATTTTACGTAATACAGATAGAATATAAACTTTTCAAAGATTTGCGTGGCGAACAAATCCAATTAAACTGCCCAAGATAAACAACCAATTGAAACTACTATAATTATGCACTAAATCGCGTGATTCCATCGTAGTGAGCAAATTTTTGTACTTTTCTATTCTCACCCTAAAACTTCTCTCGCTTTGGTAAAGAGGCAGCTGTACATAAGTCCAGCGGTTTGTACGATAGGAAGTAGACCACATTGTAGTCATGTTGTTGCTATCATCAGGATAAAGAGCAGAAACGGTTAATTCCACCAATATATCACTTGTGTGCGTCCTCTTTTCCTCGCCAATGAAATACCAAAATGTTAAGCACCGCCACCCCTCTTTATGGTTTAGATCTTTTGTTGTCAAGGTTCTACTAACTGATTCAGTGCTATCCGTTTTGAAATAAAGGAATTTACCTGATAAGGCAACGGAAAATTTGAAAAAGTTAAGAATGCACTTAAAAAGACGTTATATAGTATGGAGTCGAGACAATTTAAATACCAGCTAATTTGGTTTTAGAGGGCTTTTAGCAAGGATCATGGTCACATACCCTATACAAAAGGTGGTAAACAAAATGATTTTTCTTTTTTTCAAAACCATATTTCTTTGGGTAAACTTAAATAATTTGGCACAGTCTTTTTATAACGGCAAGCTCAGCTTAAAGCAGAAGTCAATTGTCAATCTTCATGATCAAAACAATGCCCCTTTTTGTAACTTTCGAATGCTTGTGATGATGGTGATCATTGGGGTGTTTCCTCTCATCGCCTCCTACCTCGATGATCCGTAATTTTAAACTCATAAAACCACCAAGCCTATGAATGTTTCAAGAGGTCACTAGTTACTCAAAATTTCAGTCTAATTTGATTTAATCTCTAATCACCCCTGATGATGTACGTAAATTCCTGGCCATTGAAATTCGAGTTTTTTCAAAAATAAATATAGGAACATGTCGATGCAGCGGAAGGTGAGCAGCTTTCATCAAATGGACCAAAACTCTTGGGACATTTGCAGGGATTGATCGACGGCATAGTCTCTGTTACTGCTAAGTAAAAAATACTTTGAACATATAGGCATCTCCAGTGAAGTATTTTGTTAGCACGCAATATCTTTTCACCTGAAATTGTCTTTGATGTTCTCCTAAATTTACTGGAACTTGTGCAAATATCCATTTATCTCCCTGATCCCCTTGTTGACTCCAAACCTTTTTTTCTGAGTTCACTGCTTCAATGTAGATGTTAAGAGTCCCTATATCTTTTCCATACATGTGGTACCAAAACTGAAGACAAAGTTCCGGAGCATTTATAAACCAGCCACTTCGTAATCGCGCATTATCACCATTTTGTCTGCTTGAAGCTTCGATATATAGGTAACGGCCTAACAAAATAAAGGTGTATCCCTTTTTCAGATGTTCATTTATCTATTATTTTACTTTTTGGTGTTGAGAACCTAACGCGTTCATAAATTGTGAGTAACCTCTCGCGATACGCGAAAAAATTATGCCAGACTGAGAAATCTGCCCAATGTGTCGGTGACAATTTGATAAGAGTCATCCTCTGCATCAATTATAGCAAGCAAAAAAGGCCCTGATACAATATCTTCACTAAAGTCATTGCTGAATCCGCCTTAAAGCAAACTTTACATTTAATTTTCGATCATATAATGTTCTAGGAACTCTAAACGTTTGATGATATTCTTAGTGTGAAAGATTTTCCTGGCAATTGTAATTCTTATTCAGGATTATATCTAAAAATATGGGATATAGAACACAACACCTTGGTATGATAACGTGGTATGGTCGAAGGAAGGTCCCGTGCCACCTGATAATGTTTTTCCAGTTTCTGTTTTCCACTGAAATTCACTGTTGATATCATTTTGAAATCCACATAATCCAAATTGAAAACTGCATGGCCCTAAAACAGAACCAGGCCGACAACATATTCTTAGAGGAGTTAAATGGTAAAAGAAACAAGTCTAACTTGCTGTGTTATAATGTTTGAACTCATCCTACCCGGATATAAGAGCGAGTCAGATTGACAAATTTCTAAA